CAAAATAAAACAATCCGCTTGCATTCCACCACTATATGAGGCCTACTTTATTTTATTTGCTTCGCTCTACCAAGCAGCACTGATGAGCCGTATATTCGGCGTAATTAGTTTGTTGCAGCGGGAGTGAATCAAATAATATATTAGGCTTTTACATTATATTTGTTTTACTAAAATTCATGTTTTGGTGAAGAAAATAAATTGACAAATAAATAAACACCCTAAATTATTAATATAAAGTTTGAATCATAGTTTCGAATTATACACAGCTCGTGCTATGATCACTTAATAAAGCTAACTGGACCAGTGACTGAGGATGTACATCAACCATTTCATATTCCTGTTTGTTACAAGAGACAACTTTAAACCATAAATATGGTAATTTTAACTGTTCAGGGAAGACATCTAAGTTCTCTATTTGCAGCCTAAAGATTTTCACTCATGCACATACTTTTAAATGTTTTGAAACTGATTTTACTCGTATTGAGATAATGTTTATACTACTACTACTAAGATGCACGTATGTAAATGTGTGACACGTCGATTAGACAATATTCCTGTAGTAGTTGCCTTTTGGGTATGAATGTCTTTACTAAACGACTATTCATGTTATACTTTTTGTTTACATTAGGTTTAGTGTTGGTATATCTAGAGAAAAGCAATATTTTTTGTTAAATCTTACTTGACAATATTATTCATTTTTGTGCGACACTGTTTCATTTCCAGTTTATGCTTTTAAGGTATTACATATCACACTATAGACTTGTTAATCTGTGAGGTAAATCTAAATATCAGCACCACCATGTTTCCTGCGTGACAGCAGTGTAATAGAGTACCGTATAGACACAGTGTGCCCTTCCTGGTTGTCTTGACCGCATGACACATTACCGTGTGTCTTGATCTATCTGTCTATATATATATATATATTAAGCGAAATTATATGTTTGTCTTTCCGCTAACTCCTCGCACACTATTTGGCCAATCTTCATCAAACTTGTCATGATAACTCCTACGGTCGCCTGAAGAAACATGAGAGGGGGGGGGGTTGGAATCCCATCTAATTTCCTATACAAATCCGGAAAAACTATCAAATCAGCACAACTTGACACAGTGATACAGGATGACATGAGGATGATTGGACCCACCCCCATCTAATTTCGGAAAAACTACCAAATCAGCACAACTTGACACAGTGATACTGGATGACATGAGGAGGATTGGATCCCCATCTAATTTCATATTCATCGAATTCTTGGGAAACATTATCTTTCTTTTCAGTATTGTTTTAATTCACCCGTACAACAAACGGGTACTCCACCTAGTAAAGAATAAGATTGACACGTCTAAATGAAAAATTTTCCTATTTTATTTTGTGCGACGTTTCGAGCACACGCCATTCGTCAGGCAGTAAAGACCGTGTTACGGTGGAATTAGGCCGAAAAAGAGTTTCCATTTAGACGTGTCAATTTATTCTTTAATGTTTTTTATCCATGTATTTTTTCTCACGTCTTTCGGAATAACACTCATTTAAAATCGTCACTTAATCTAATATTTAAATATAAGACCTTTGCTAATTAGCTTAAGGTATCACTACGTTCTCATCAAATGTTTTATCTGGTATACTTACCCTGACATTAACATATTATCAGAAAGACCATCTTCAAGAATAATCATTCTAATTAAAATGAATAAATATAGTTTTTCAATGTTTCTCATCATCTCTCAGTAACATATCTGCCAATCGTGTAATAATTGTTAGTTAAGCGTAATGATGTTCCAAAGTTATATTTAAATTATTAGTAGTGTGTCTTAGATACGAGACTGACACGTGCAACAATAATTTGATCATTTGCAGCTTCCTTTACAATATTGTACCACAGTAATACTAGCACTCGCTGTTAAGTGTAGCTCAACAATGTGAAAGAGGTATAAAAAATCCGTTTAAAATTTCAATGACAGAATGATATTCTCGAGGTAATATATATTTCAAAAATAACAATGCACGTTGTTCGTTGTTATTTAAGGCTCATAACGTAAGTAAATTAATACGTAGAATTATAAACGGACTTTTCTCTACGTTAGAATACTTTTATTTGCGAAATTTCGGCCCTCGTAGAGAAAAGTTCGTGTATAATTCTACATATAATGCACGTTGTGCATTGCATAAAGGAGTAAAGTTTTATTGCTTTTGTAGGTGTTCACTTATTGCACGCTTCTGCTGCTTATATGGCATCATGCAGAGATGTCCACTTCACTTGGAGGGAAATTGAGAGCTATTCCGCTGCATAAAAAATGAGTAGACTCTGTTTGGCATGGCAAGAAGAACGTCTGCTCTTCGGGCATATTCGTCTGTATTCTGTTTTTGGTATTTCTCTGGTTTCTCAAGGCTATTTTGCGCGTACTTTGTCCATCTAGTTGGGCACACTAATTTTAAATCAGGTGTGTCGTTGTTCTTGAACTCCTCAAATAGCACTTGCCTTTTCGGAGAAAGCTTGAACAGATGTATTAACTCAGTAGCAAATTCAAGAACATCACATATACATTTGCAACTTCCTAATAAGACAGTGTGGCAGAAAATGGACTAGGAGAGCTGACGGTGTTTCCTCTCGAATCTGTTTGGCCACTCCTGATATGTAGCCCTGGAGATTGTTGGCTCCTTCATAGCTCTAGCCATGACAATCAGTCATTTACAAAGTAAGGCGAGTGATAAAGTCCCTGATAGCAGCTACAATAATATTAGCACATGTTTTAGAGATCATCGTGTACTCTGTAGTGTTCAACAACCCATCTCAAACATAAGACTAACTGTTCACGGTTTTCACAGCCACTGGTTTCATCAGCTAGAATGAAAAATCGTATTGCTGAAGGAACCTGATTGATAACTTGGTTTGATACTAGTCTATATTATAATCGTTCCACAATTTACTTCGAGTGTTTGAAGTTAGCTAGGATTAATTCAACTTCTTATAGGTTATATTGTAAAATCCTCATTTACATTTATTATATACTATATTAGGATATTATTCTTTTTAGTTTGCAGTGCATGCGGCAGAGTGAGACAATTTTACAAAATAAAAATTGTGTAACTTCAGGTTTTTAGTTAAATATGACACCACTCTGGACAACATTTTGGTTTACAAAAGGGATTTCTGCCTCTGCATGAGTTTCTGTTCCATCAGCATTATCATTAGGGAGTCAAATTTCTCAGTTGTATTATTTCTTTTGTTGCTGCAGTTTCGGATATTTTTGCCATTTCATATTCATTTCCTTTTTGATCTAAGCCTAGCAGAGAAAATTGTCAACATTATAATGTTAAGCCTACATCAAGACACATCAGACAATACCTGCAATTTTTAGATCTACTGGTAACATTAGGTTCTAAATTAACACGATTTATATTTTTAATTCAACATGGTTAAACCGTTTTCCCCAGTCACCCCAATAAAAAAATAAAATCGGGAATTGCTCTGAATTAGCTTAGTTACCTTTTTACGACACACCTTGTTGAAAGTAGATAAGCCTCGTATCGTCCAACATTAGGCTTCCGCCGTATGCCCAGTATAGCCTTGAGATCGATCTAGTCTAGATTGAAAGTCCTTCAGCCGTTAATAACTTAAGTTACTTAACACTATCATATGAGCAATATTATAGAAAAAAAACAAAAACGTATCACTGTGACACGTGTAAAGTTTGATATGACAAAGATCTAGACCTAGATCTGAGATTTATGGAAACTTTATGTACATTTACAGACGTTAAACCCAGCAGTTACAACATAGAAACTGAAAAAGTGCATGGAGTTCAGTAAGTTAGTGTCTCCACTGTATATAGAGCTATATATGTATATATATAGTTTATATAGATCTGGATTATGTCTATAATAAACATTATTTTAAAAATTACCATAATTTGTTTTGCGTTTCAGGCCAAAGTTCAACAAGGTTATCTTTTGCTGTCCTCCACCTGTGCACCTTTGCTTCCGCTAGGTCATGATTTAGATCTAGGCCTACATCTGACATAGGCCTGAGCTACCCATGTAATAATACAATTGCTTGCCCGATAACCGTCAAGCACGTTTGAACAAAATGTGACAAATTTTCTACCTTTTATTTAAACAAAGATAACTATTTGACCTGCAGTCTTCGTTAAAAAAGTTTTTATCAAAAATACACAGCTTTAGTGCATATTTAATACGTTAATTATAATATACCCAAGTATAGCCATCTACGATAAACGTGTGCTTTCATTTATGCAATGTGGTAACAGGACCGTACACAGAATGTTTAAAGGGGAAGGGGGGGGTTCTATTTTGTGAGATCAAAAGCCAACACATGTGCGAAGCATAATCTGATTGCTAATACTACGTGGGTCTAGAGGCATCCCCCCCCCCCAGAAAATGTGTGAAAAATAGGTGTTATGAGATTGTAGCTTTTCACGTTAAATCCACAAACAACCAATGAAAAATCAACAAATCATCATTCTTGTAACATTGCATAGGGAGCTAGACTTAAATTAACATAAATATGTATGTTTTATTATTGTAAAGTACTGTAATATCTACATCCAGAGTAGTTATTAATTATTAAGTTCAATTACTAATTTAATTCCGATAATCTAAAACTAAGTCAAAGTGCTAAATGTAAATAATAAATACGACAGTAGACTGTGGTATCGGAATTCATTTCTGTTTAACTGCAATAATTTGTATAGAAAATTAAAGATCTCTGAGAAAACTTTTGTACACATCTATTTGAAAGTTTTGTTCATTTCGACTAAGATATTGTTTTCATTCTAGGGTTAAAATAGAAGTAAAAAACAGTAACGTGAAAGTATTAAATTAAAATTGTAAATGTGGCGTAAACGTATTTAACCAGTTCTGTTCATAGAACTTGACTACAAATATTTAGAATCAAATACAAATTGATTTATGTTTTTAAGACTATATCTAGCAGCTAATGATTTAATTTCTCGAGAAATTTAACTTAATTTTCTTTGCAGAAAATATGTCTTCTAATGTGATAGAATATGCAAGGAGAGAGTTAGAACTTCTTCAATCCAACCCGCCATGGGTAAGGTAATATTTAATGGATAATCAGATTAAAAATGTACATTTTCGAAATCTGGTTGATTATTTGGTATGACTCCAAATTCCGAACTCTCACAAATGAAAGTGACAATTCTAACTATCCTACTTCACAACATCTTTTCACTTATCTTATTCTGTACTTGATTGTTAGTTATGGATCCAAAATAAAATTATATAGAAAAATGGCATTTTTAAAAATTAGGTTCTTAAACGTTAATATTGTTACTTTAGTAAATTATAGAAGTATTCATTAATCGCAGTAAATCTCAATACTTAAAGTGAAAGAGCACTTTTGACCAATAAAAAGTAAAATAACACATAACATATTTCTAGTAAAAACAACTTAGTTTTCTCTTATAAAAATAATGTCTTAAATATTTCAAATGGATTTTGTTTCTTGGTGTTCTTAAGTAGTTGTTTTGTTATCGACTTATATCTCTTAAAATTATAATATTTGTTTACAATGGTTCATGCATTCAACATTTAAGCTCTTGGATATAAATAACACTTCAAACTCTAAAATTATCGACTTCCTTTTTCATCCAGGTGCCCTTTCTATTATGGGATCCAATTAAGTAATTTCATTATATTTTATTGTCTGTTACAACATTCGTTGTGAAGAATTGACAGAAATTTTGGGAGCTATGAATTATTTTATATGTAAAACTCTATACATAGTTTAGTAAAAAAAAATATTTAAAAAGCGAATAGGGTATAAATGGACCCTATAGTGAATTTTAATGTTAAGACAGTGTCAATGCCAACATTTTTTGTACGAAAGGTTTCATGCATATATAATAGTTGCAAATGAGATCTAATTGTGTTTTTTCAACTGAAAAAAATATTGAAATTGTCAAGTACAACAAATCATGTGCACTTTAAAGTCATCTTCGGATCCCATATATCGTGAAAATTTTTGTTTAATTTTGTTCATTTGAAATTATGCACAAAGCTACACAATGAGCTACCTGTACTGCCCACCACGGATATCGAAACCTGGTTTCTGGTGTTGTAAATCCGCACACATACCGGTGTGGCACTGGGGGCGTCAGGGAAAATATTTATTTAACTTTATATTATGTGTGTTTTCCCATATCCACCACTTTCATCTATATTGTATTGTTAGTTTTATTTGAGATAAGCGAAAGAACTTGTTGTATATATAAGGTTAAAGAAATGATTAAAATAGCAGACTTATTCTATCCACGCAATCTAATGTTAAATGGAAAAGATAGATTTTTTTGTTTCAATATCCTATACTTTCTAAGTAAAGAAATAAGAGATTGTAAGAAAATACAGTATTTTGTTGCCTTTTTAATCTTTCTATTACACACTCGAGTGCAGTTGTTTAATCTTACTTTTATTTACATTACTGCGGAATTATAATCAAATGCGTGTAAAAACAACTTTTCATATTTACCTTTTGTTCGGGTAATTCCTTGTGACATACAAAAGATAGATCTTAAATGTCATTTATAAAGCCCTTTCATTTGAAATTCGTAATGGACTAACTAAGAAGAAAGTCGAATATTACGTCTGCGTCCAAGCATAATTTTTGTCACAAATATTAGGCCTATTGGTTTCAAGGCTTCGCCAGCTTGTGGTGTTTAATACAATCGAAATAAAATAAATATATTTAAGTTGGCAACAAAAGTAGATGTTCAACATCAACTGCTTAAATTCAACCAACTGAACCATGTTTCTATGCAACAAAATAATACAGTATAAATATTTCCATTCTGTTATTTTCATTCTAATTTGAATTGTTGTGTCATGCAAAATTTGAATTTTCTAATTAATAAAACTTGCGAAATCTATTAACAAATTACACTTTGAAATTATTTAATAAACTAATTGTGTTTTGTTGTTTTATTAAGGGTGTAAAGGTTTGGTTGGTCGATGATGACAACCTCTTCGAATGGATGGCAGAAGTACTAGGCTTGAAGGACACTGCGTGGGAAAGTAAAAACTTATATTTCTCTTAGAGATTACCTTTTTCCCACCTAGGTTAATTTTTGAAGTTGGACACATAATTAACTGTAGAAAGCCTTTTTTTCTTTCTGTTTTGTAAATTATCAAAACAGTTAATAACAGTTATGACGTTGAACAAATTGAACATAATTCATAGAAATAGGTTTAAGAAGTAAATAAATTTGGATAAACAATCTTTAAAAAATAACATGATTGAAGGACTTTATATTGAGTTTGTAGATTTGTAGTTTTTAGGGACTGCATCCCCTTGGAGATTAAACGTACAGGACGTTTCTGTGCTAACGAAACGTCGTGCTCTTATAATTTTAAACATATAAAAATTTCAAATCCAGTTCAATGTAGTCTGCCTAAAAGTTTTCTGAAAACCGAATATTTTTGTATTGATAACTCTGTGTGGTTAATTTAACTGCTATTTATTAAGTATTTGATAAGGCCAAAACGTTGATCAAGTGAAAACGAAAAAATCAAATCAAATGAAAATCTATCAAACTTTGCCTTGAAATTCATTGTTTCCCAAGATGGCTCAGCGGTAAGCCTGGAGCTTCTATTGATAGAAATCGGATTTCAATACCCGTAGTGGTAGCTTTGTGTTTAACAGCAAATAGACTACGAAACAATTCTCTTAACAGCGGTAGTAGATAATTTTTCACAAGATCGTTTCATTAACGTTCCTGTTTGTTGTTATTTCCTTTGATAACTTATAGTTCCTTAAGTGGCCTACAATGAAAGTACCAAACGAAATTTATGAAGTGTTCCAACGTATCAAAAAGTGTTATTTATTATTTTATGAAAAAAATCATAATAGGTTCCCGAGTTTGAAGTAATAGAGTAAAGGGGAATCGTCTAGTTAACATCACCTGCCTCCAGTTATAGGATATTCCTTTGGGGACGGATAGTGGGATTTGATCGTCAGTCATAAAACGCGCTCACTCCTCCAATGGGCGGAGCGCGTTTTTTTTTCTTGGCGGTAACGGGACGCAAACCACGGAACCTCAGATTCACAACCCGGCACGATAACCATTGGCTCACGATCGGCCCTAATTCTCTGTGTAAAATATGTTAAAGATATTTACCAAGTCGAATGCTTACAAAATAAGTAGTTATAAACACGATATATCACACAACTGCAACAAATAAATGCAGAATAAATTAATATCTAACAAATGAGGATGTGCGTTTTTGATGGAAGTTTAAGAATGAAAAAGTGGATGGTTGACAAAGTATTGGGTCGTCAAGAAATTAATATCGCTTTTTTTTAGATGAAAAAACCCGAACAACTTATTAATCAAAACAAAACATTTATTTTAAATGAAATAGTCTCCATTCTTATCGATGATGCTTTTTATCTTACAATCAGGTTGTTAATGCCCTGATGAAAAAAAAATCACTTGGCTTTGTAGCAAAAAAAAACAAAACATTTCGATGTTCTCATTAACACCTTCCACATTTGCATGAGTTTCCCATTAAGATGGTATTGCAGCGAACGAAAAAGATGGTAATCTGATGGTG